TAGGAAACCCTAGGATGGGATTAGGGTTGAACTAGTTTTGATACCAAATGACATCATAATTAGTTGTAAAATAGTGGAAAGTCAAAAATAAACTTTTATTAATATAGAAATCAGGTTACAACACGACTCAAATAGATATGTAATACAACATTAGTATAATCTCTAGTTAGGATTGTAGGAAGAGATCTGAAGGTTGTGGTGGTGTCGGCGGGGTGATAGGGAGAGATGGGGAAGGCTGGGTGGTTGTTTGGATAGTTTGGGATCATGTTTGGTTGGTTGTAGGTAAGCTGGACAGCAAGTTGTGGAAGGAGTGGAGGAGGAGGCGAAGTAGTGGAGGGATATGGGGGTGGTCAGCGACTAGGTGACGGGTAGGAGAAGGTTCGAGGGGAAGAAGTGGAGGAGATAGGAATGATACAAGACCATCTCGGAGCAGGATACAACCGGAGCACCATTTGTAGTCGGATACAACCTTAGCAAGAGGGAAAAATGTTCCACACAGGAGATTTGAGGACAAGAAAACCAGAACTCACTCCCCACACATAGAGGACGGCAATTTATATCCTCCTACTTCTACACAAAAGGAAGGCCGGTGGGAAAGCAAGAAGAATCCAGAAAAAAACTTTTCCCAGAAGAAGACGAGTGTGGCAAATATGTGAAGCAGCTCCCTAGATCGCGAGAGTTTCTGATCAGCCTTCTGCCTTTGAATGGGATCGCGATCCCGTCCTGCCTTCTGCTCTCGTAAAATGCCGCGGGGTTTCTGGCTCCGCAGAATATAAGCGCCTCATTTCGAGGGCGCATTCAGCGCCTGCACTCGGGTGCTGCTTTCAACGCCCGCGTCATTGATGCTTGCATGTTTTAGGCAAACTCGTGCTGAAGCTTGTGGTTCATAGGAATGTTAAGAAAAAGCCAAGGCTCTAATAATATGATAAGAATTTGGTGGAATTTTATTTTTACTTTATTCCAATATTTGTCTATTATTTTTACAATCCTAAAAGAACTTCTAATATGACAACATTCAAAATTAAGTCAAATAATTATTACGAAATGATTACAATTATTTGTGTTTTGATGAGGTGGTAGTACTAATCAAATGATGTTAATAAGGTGGAGGTCTTTGGCGAAACTTTAATGTAAATGAAATTAATGGATGTCGAATTAAGAGTGTAACTGAGCCAAGTTGACTTGTGAGCTATGTTGATAAATGGCTCATGAGCTAAACCCAATCGGCTAATAAGCCAAGTTTGATCCAAACTTTGGCGAAACTTTAATGTAAATGAAATTAATGGAGGTGGAATTAAGAGTGTAACTGAGCCAAGTTGACTTTTGAGCTATGTTGATAAATGGCTCATGAGCTAAATCCAATCGGCTAATAAGCCAAGTTTGATCCAACGTTGTCTTTGCTCATTAACTCATGAGCTGAATTGTGTAAAAATTATTAATAGAAAATATGCATAAAATATAGTAGAATTCATGTGCTTATGTGGAAAATTGTTAAAATATTTAACTTCAATATTTTTTTTACATTAAGTTATTTTTTTATTCTAAATTTTAATTCTCTTTATCATTTTAGTATATCAATTATTCAAGTCAAAATTATTTTTTCATTTTTATAATAAGGCATGTTACGAGAAGATTCGAACTCATAGAATTGAGTTCGAGGACACACTGGATTAATTAATTAAACTCAAAGCTCATGCTAAGTGTGGTTCGAGCTTGGCTAAAATCATTTACATCCATAGGCGGAATTGATTGAGGTAATATTGATGGAGATTGTTTTTTTTCACATCTACAATCCTAAAACTTATCAAAAGGAACTATTGAGATATTCAATGTTGTAACCCCTTCAACTCAATTCTGCATTTTCGTTACATCATTTCATTGTTATTAGCTATTATTGGGCCAGCCAAATGTACCTTTTTTTTATACTTTTTTGGTTGTTACTCTTTGATTTAAATGAAATTTTATGCAGGAAAATTATGATCTTCTATTTGGAATCATCAATGGAAAGTTGGGTTTTAAAGATGGTAAACCTGTTGCGGCTTGCATCTTATATAGATGTCTTCTCCATTGGAGAGCGTTTGAGGCCGAGAGGACTGCTATTTTTGACAGCATAATTGAGGCAATCAATAATGTTCTTCAGGTCATATTTTTCTGGCACTTGTTTTTCTATGATATAACATGGTTTCACTTAAACTAACTAAAATTACTACAATAACAAGCAAGGGAATCTCATTTTTCTCCGCATAAACTTCAGGTTGAAAGGGAGAATGAAAATATTTTGCCATACTGGTTATCAAATACGTCTGCCCTTCTATGTCTCCTACAAAGAAATTTAAGGTCAAATGTTTTTCTAAAGACTCCTAATCGTCGCTCTTCTGGATCAACAGGCTTAAGTGGTAGGATGGCTCAGGTGAGTTTGATTGTTGGAAACAAGAATATAGTTTATTAATCTTGCCTTTTTTATACTGCAAAAAACTTGGCTGGCTGTTATATACAAAAAATAAATTGTAATTTTTGTCCCTTTTTGCCCCTGTTTACTTTTTTTGGGCTCTAGTTTGTATATTTATTTTAGTTTAAATAATAAGGTATACTCACTATGCCCCTTCATTAACCTTTTACAGGTTTTAAGATCTCCGTTGAAACTCATGGGTTCTGAAGAGGGAACTTCACACATTGATGCCAAGTATCCTGCTTTACTATTTAAGCAACAATTGGCTGCTTGTTTAGAGAAGATTTTCGGAATGATTAGGGATAACTTTAAAAGAGAGTTATCACCACTTTTGTCTCAATGCATTCAGGTAAGTGCAATGGATATAAAAAAACCTAAACTTCCACCAAATTACAGCTGAAAAAATTAAATGTAACTACATCTGCAGTTTGCAATTCGAACATTTACTTCTAAGCTATATTCCCTGAGATTGTTACAAATGTTTCACTAATTGGAGGACCTCTGAGAGACATAGTTATAATATATGTATATTATTTGGCTAAAATGATTAAAAATTTATTTTTTCTCCAGCGAAATAATGAAGAATAAGAATAAAATAATGTTGTATTTGAAAGGAATCAATAGCAATACGCTTAGTGGTGACAAATAACTTAATGCAGATTTTGTTTTTTTCATATTTTAATCCAGAAGTTTTCCTGCCTTTCTATTGTTCTGTGAGCATCTTGATCTTAAGATGATGAACAAAAAGACTAGAACCTATTGTCCTTGAGGTTGTCTGCTAATCTTGAGGCTCTTTCAGCGATTATTGTTACCTCGTGAGATTGCACTATTGTTATTGTATGTGTTAGTTGTTTTCGTTTTCTTTTTTTTTTTTTAATTTTGTAATGAAAATCCACGAGCATTTATTGCTTCCTGTTCCATTCATATTTTCTTAGGCTGGGTTTGTGCTGCCTTGTTTAGTACAAGTATTCTACAAGGAGACCTTGTCATACGCCTTGTTTAATACAAGCATTCTACAAGGAGATTCTGTTTTCATCTTGCTATTATAGAGATATTCTACTAGAAGATCTTGTCACATGCCTGATCAAAGATAACTTTCTGAAGCTTGGGCATCTCTTTCTCTACCACCTTAACCTTCTGCATTTCTATTGTGTGGGGCAGTGGCTTTGGAGGATGTTGGCCTTAGCTGTGTATGAGTCAATTCAAACCAACCACTCTGTCACGACCTTAAACTTTTTAAAAGAAAGTTTTATTCATCCCGGGGAAAATTTTTGAAAAATAGATTCTACATGTTTAAACTTGATTAAATTTATCTTTATTGTAAAATGATTATTATATTTGATTTGTTTTGGCAGGATTGGATTTGTTCATTTTTATTATATATTAGGATTCATAGCTGCCTGTATTTCGTTTTTTTTCAAATATTACTGGTTTTAATAACGTTGCCTTTAAGATTGTATTGAATTATCTATGATGAATTAAATGTTGAATTCTCTTGCTCAGTCACATGCATCTTCTTTCTCCTCCAATCAGGGATATGTCTTTTACTCACTTGGTTTTGTGCTTGTCTGTTCTATTCTTGTTGGATTAGTTGTTAACTCAGCATATCTCCCTATCTGTTTGCTTAAAATATTCTTACACATATCTCAATTCCATTGGAAAACTCTTAAAACCTCCATGTAGAGTGTATTTAGGGGGAGGGATGAGAGTATAATATAGAATACGGACTTATCACTATTATTGTTTGTTGGATATTCTCCTCTTAATTGATTAAGAGAGAGAGGTGGCCTTTTTACCTTAGATAGAGGGCAGCCTTGCTCATTTTAACACGGGAGTGGCCTCCTCAGAATTGGTGTCCTCTTTATGTCCTTCTTGTGTTTTCTACCCTCATTTTTTATTATAATAGATGTTGATGTAGGATCTATGAGATTTTTATGATGAAGGAAGTAACATAATTATTTCTCCTTTGCGGTGGTGGGAAAAAATGTTTTCAAGATTTTAGAAAGATTTAAAGCTAAAATTTTTACGCTTAAAAGAGTAGAGTTTTCTTGGAGGTCGGGTTGAACTCCAAATCATAGGCTTGGGATGTTAAGGAACTAATGGTAGTGCTATTATAGGTTTTTTATTAGTGATTAAGGAGTTGTGAGTTTTTCTAATCTTATTGCTTATAATATGAAGTTGTCTATCTATATTAGGCATTTGACCATGATATCTCAGTGTTAATGGAAAGTTGAGGTAGAAGAGTTTTGAATGGGTTGTAGCTAACTTGGCCCTGAAGGAGGCTATGATTTAGGGTTGATCGAGCCTTCGTGGAGGAGAGAAATTGTGTTGTGGGAGAGAAATAGGAGTGGGAAAGATCACTAAGAACTCATTAAAGCCTTAAATGATCAGCCACCAAGCCTTTCCACTTGAAATCGTACTAGCAAAAGAACTGTTTATTCAATGAAATAAAAGGTGCAAAGTAAAGTTTTAGTTATATGTCTTTTCTAAGCTTGTCCAAGTTTGGAAAGCCTTGTGAGCCAATTAATTGCTATTAAATGGATTGATAACTTGTCTAATACAAATGAAAAGAAAATAATCAAAATATTGCAAAACATAAAGTATTCATAAGCTTGAAAATTCATCCGTACGATAAAAACAAGTAGTGGTTTTGAAATGAAATAAATTTTAAAAATCTTCGCCAACTTAATTTGTGTTACCAACCTCCCCATCAAAGAACCTCAAATTAAACTTTTTCTCGTTTTTCAATGTGTTGTGCATGATAAATAATCTAAATATTAATGGATTGTCTTGACATATATTTTTGTTCTGGTGCCTTTGTATTATTGTTGCATCATATGTCCTATGCTCTATTTTTTTCCCTTCATTATAAATAGTCGTTTAACCATGCATCTCAGTTGGTGGCTAATAGCTCAATTTTGACCAATAATTTTTTTTAGAAAAGTGTTAAAATGGTTAATTGGCTCTTTTATAGGGTCATTTTAGTCACAAATTTATAAAAATATCAATTTAATTCTCAAACTCGTTAATTATGAGTTGAATTAGTCTTAGGAGAGGATTATTTTAGCTCTAATTAAAAGAATTTGGGAATTAATTTAATTCTTTTATAGACTGGGGTTAACCCCATGTAAATAGTTAGGAATTGTCACGACTCAGCCAGGAGCTTGGAATATTAAGGCGGGAACGGACGGTCGGACGGAGGAAGAACTATCTAAATAGTTTTATTTCTTAATTAATAGCATTTAAATCATAAAGGTCATTCTATTTCACAAAACTTTAATTTATAATAGTTCCTTCATATTTAAAACTTTTACAACTAGTAGTAAAATAAAAACTAAATTGAAATGTTGGCCTCTTTGATGTTTGTATGCATAATCTTTAATTTTAGCTCTATTCTAAAGAATTCCCTATTGAAAAATGTTAGAAGCTGAAGGTATGAGTTAAACTACTTAGTGGGTAAAACATTTCTAAATTACAATAATTCACATTTTAAAAATATTTTATATAAAGATAGTGAATAGTAAAAATAAGACAGTAAAGAAATCAATTTTATTGTTACTTGTATTTATTATAACTAAAATATTTGTCGGTGAAAGTTTGTTTAAATGTAAACTAAAATTATACATTTCAAAATATCTTTTAAAACCCACTAAAAAGATAGGCAATCATTTTCATTTTCATTTTTGTTTTAATTTCATTTTCAATATTTATTTTACGTGCACGAATATATTAATTCCCTAGCTTGTTCCATATTGTAGTGACACCACATATGCATATGCATACATTATGTTTTATTTATTCTTTTATCCAATATTTGTTTTAATTAATTAATCATTGGAAGAACGTGATATTTTCTTTTTTAAAGGAAAATACTAAAAATATTTCAAGTTTGCATTTTAAAATAGTGTATTGAAATAATTAGAACATTTACATGTGTTTTCTTAAATAAAGGAATTATTGTAAAATAAATATGTTTACCCTTTTGTTTAGTACAGTCCATTGTCTTTTTTTCTCATTCAATTTTTTTATTACCTATAATAACACATTTGATTTGATTAGTTCCTATGATTCTTGTCCTCCTTTCATGTTAATTGTAATTTTATTATTATATTATTATTATTTAGATACATCTATTTGCTCTTTATTTAATTACTTAGTTAGTTGTTACTTATATGAAATATATTGTTGTTGATAGTAATAGAGCACAATTAAATCAATTAACTTTCAAATTTTCGATTAAGTGACTCCTAAATTTCTTTTCGCATGCTTTGATATCGGAGTTAACCCAAACCACAACTCAAAACGATATAATTTTATTGATGATTTTGAAGGAAAGTATAACACGGACACTTGGACGAAAACAACACAACATGTGAATGGTAATATAAGAATAGCGACTTAACAAATACTAAAATAAGCCCTACGAAGAGTAGGAATAGTCCTGATTCGAGTTGGGTGGAACTTATGGCTCTGTCGCAAGGTTGGGGAGGTGTTATCGGCGGCTAGGAGGATGTTGGAGTGTCGGGAGGGAGCTATTGGTACGATTGTTGGCTGTGAAGGGTGTCGGTTGGCACTAAAATTGCGGCAACTAACGAGGAGGCATTGAAAGGGACTGCAGCGTCCCTTGTAGGAGGGGCAGTCGGCCAATAGCACTGGAAAGAGCAGGAGAAGGGGGTCGGGCTGGCTGCAGGATGGAACTTGGAGGATGGCAACGGAGGAGGCGACGCCAGGAGAAGGGGTTGACGCGGAGATACACATCATCTTGGTGGGATACAGTCATAGCACCCCGCTACCGAAGAATACGGCCCTCAAATAGAGGGAAAACACCAAGACAGTTCTTTGAAATCAGAAATCAAACAAGTTCATTAGGCTTGAGAATAAACATTTTAAATAGGGAGGAAAGAAGACAGCCTTGGAAGGAAGGAGGAGAAGAAATGAAAAGGATTTAAAGGGACGAACAAAGGCTATGAGGAGGAAGGTGTGCGAGAATGGCTAGGAGCTGTGGATTTAGGGCACGAGGAAGAAAGGATCGCAGAAACAGTGAGGAGCAGAATCACGAGAGAAAAAGAAGGAATTAACAGGTCGATCCGATCCAGCGGGGGTGGAAGGACCGGCTTGCTCCCTGCTGCACCGGTTTCATGCGCAGATGCAGGGAGCGAGATTGCGCGTCACACGTCATGCTTGAATTAAAAGCAATTAAATTAATCTTCTGAATGTAAGGTTCTTCAACTTTTTGTTTATGTTTAGCACAATTTAATTAGAAATATAGCAATTAAGTAATTAAATTGAGCTTCATACCTGGAAGTTTCCTTCTTTGTTTTTTGATTTTAACTTCCAAATCAAAAACCC